ACTCAAGAGCTGCGAGTTGGCCCTGCGTGACTGTCGGCAGGGGCTGTACTGCATTCGGCTTCCGGCTCTGCTGAGCTGCTTGCCATGGATCCGCTTTCAGCCACGGGTCAGCAGTGAGATCTGACGGTGGCTGGGTCAGCGTGGAAATTGTCTTCCTGGAGGCAATGATATGGTTTGTGGTCGGCAAAGCTGTCTCTCTCTGATCCTCAAGCTTGGCAATCAAAATGTCACCATGCTTCATTTGGTAGATCCAGTGCGTTGGCTCAGTCAGTGCCGTGACATGCCAAAAAATGCCTTCTTGGACCTGCATCTGTGAGATCGGTTGCACTGGGCGGGCGTTCCAGCCCAGGTGCTTGAAACCTTTGGAGATGGATTCTTTGGTGGACCCATAAGGGAAAGGTCCCACCTTGTACGGCTTGAGTTCATGGCCGTCCAGGAACATGAGGTCTGGCCGATGCTGCACATGTACCTGTTCTGCTTGATGTCTGTCAACTCGAAGGCCAAAGCGATTGCCCATCCTGGCGATGGTGGTCTTGGCTTCTGTCTGACTGCGCGCCAATCGGACCTGAGCCAAATTCTGACGAGGCATCCAAATGACCCTGTAGGTTGGGTCAGGCTTCCTACCATCCAAGGTCCGTGGTTCGAGATAGATGCCATCGACTGCGGCACTTGGCATAACGGCTGCCGCAAACCCTTCTGTTACCCTGATCAGGAAGGCAAAGATCTCCGCCTGGTCAGTCTGTGTGCGAGCCATTTTGGCATCCAATGTCTGCCTGTCCCATACGTCGATGATGTGCTCGGCCTGTGGGAAAGCTGGGTCTTGCATGAGAGTATGGTCGAAAATGGCTTTGACAGGATGCTTGATGAACGCGGTCCACTGACCATTCCATTCGTCTTTGTAGACTAGGACTTTCAGGACTTTTGTTTGGATTTCCTCTAGCGCAAAGCTCTCAGTCGGGACATGGCGTACCACCCTTTTTCCCCCAAGCTGCAGTAGGGCGGCCGAAACTAACATCGGTTCTCCTGTGGTGGCCGACATAGCAGGGACTCGGATTCGTTCTGCTTGGACTGGCAGCCGGTCATCATTGTGGTCGAGGATCAACAGGGCGACCCCCTCTGTGGAAATCGGAGTGGTCAGGCTGAGGAAATGTGTCACGTCCCCAATATTGCACAGGGCCACCCCTTGGGCATGAGCCTCTACCTTATGCAGCGGAATCGAGGACAGCTTCTTGCCATCGGCTTGTGCGAAAATCGCATCTGGCAGTTTGATCTGTTCAGCCGCTGGGATGATCGGCGGCTTCGGACCTTTGTGCGAGGGCTTCTTGTTGGCCTTGGTACCAACTGGTTTGCCTGAAGCTAGTCTCTTCTAATGGCTTCATCTATCTCGGATGCAAGAACGATGCGAATCGGAGGCGATGCTTGTGAAGCTAGGACTTTCAGGTCTTTCCATGGCTGAGAGCTACCTAGAGCTTTGTTGATGGCCTCCGCTCCAAGTTGCTGCATGAGAGTAGTAGCACATGTGCTGAGTCGATCTTGATGTACTCCATGTTGTTTCAGGACTGACTGCAGGAGCAGTTGCTCCGGCTGCAGCATGCCTCCCAGTCGGATGGCCTTGGTGCACGATGCGTCGGACGGCAAAATGCTCTGAGCAAACGGAGTCCTCCATTGGTCGGCTTGAACTGCAGTGGTGGCTTTGGGGAGCTTCTCTCCAAGGAAATGGGAGAAGAACCAACTGATGGTTTGGAACCCGCAATCGGCCGCAAACTCTGAGGGCAACAGAAACGTTTCGAACCTGAGCTCATACGGTCCTATGGCATCAATGATGATCGTCGTGATGCACTTCTGAAGTTCCTGAGGAACGAGCAGTGTCTGCGCCGTGGGCGATAAGTGCAGTGCGATGGGGCTCCAATGGCTAGAGCACAGAACCGGTACCATGAACATGTTTTTGCAGGGCTCAACATCATACGCATGTAGGCATTGGAGAGCCCAGGTGGCAAGAGTCTGATCGAGGTCCTGGGGGCTATTAAGCACAATTGGGTCTGCAACAGGCTGTCCTTGGTTGCGAAGGAGATTCACATAAAAGCACATTTCATCGACCGCAACCAGGGGCCCTTGTTCGAGGAGACCTTGGAACCGACTCTTCCCCTGCAATGTCAACGTGGTGATCTGGTTGGCATGGACTTGTGAGCACTTAGGCATGACATGCACAGCCCCGTTTCCTACCACATACCAAGTTCCCGGCGTCAGGAAGCTATGGAGTGAATGTGGGATCCCTGTCATGGTCTTGATGACCAATGGTTGTGGCATGCATGCGGCTTCTGCTTCTGCCTGCGACAGCTGGCCAACGGTGGTGCCTGGCTTAACCAGAATCCTGCTGGGGGCACAATCCGACCGGCACACTACTATATGGAACAGGTCTTTCGGCAGGAGCTGATGTTCGATGGTCGAAGCTCTCTCTGCATCAGTTGGAGCAGGAAACTCTGGGGCCTCGGTGTCTTCGGTGTGTGGACCATACTCCGTGGCAGGGGCCCTTGGCTGTGATGGTCCTGTTGCCTTGGACTGCAGTGGCATTCGAGAGTCGTACGTGGCTTCTCTACCAGGTCCAATCCCCCCTTTTCCCTTGCCTCGGATGAGGTCATTGTTGGCGTTCGTCGAAATGGCCTGGACTTCAGACCGAGGGATCTCAAACACTTGAGAGTGGGCATCACGCAGTTCATGGCTGTCCCTACCCGAATGCGGCCGCAACGACGAATGTCCTGATGGGTGTGAGTGCTCGACACTGATCGGATGTCTAGACTTATTAGCGAAAGACTCAAGGCCTCCCGTGGGCGAGATGACTGGCGTCACGTGACATGAGTGCTCCGGACCTTGTGTGTCATCAGCCTTTCGTTTATTCGTTTCCCTAACTGCTTCTTCTACTGCACTGGAGCCTGGCAAAATCGAAACAGCTTGCTGCGGCGGACATGAATATCTAACTCCGAACTTATCCAGCACTGCCGTCTGGAAGAGCAGTGACTCACGTGTGTGGGTGAATGGATGTAACATCATGTCCCTGGCTTCGAAGGTGGCAAGGCTCAACTGCAGAAGTCCTTGCTCAGGCAAAGACTGTGGAACATGTGAACCAAATGCATGGCCCAGTGATTGCGCTACTTGCGACACATGCCAAAGTGCTTGAGCTGGTGAGGCCATCTGGCCCACAGCTGTGAGATCTAACCTGAGTCGTCTGGTGTCCGGATGTTCAAGATGGTCCGTAGGGACTAGGTGCAACACCGCAACTTCATCTGGATGAACATGTCTCATGTTGGCAATGTCTTGTCCTCGAACGAGGGTGGAACCTTCAGTTGGAATGAGCGCCCCAAACAATCCCTTGTCTTCGATCCTCTGAGGGGAAAATCCACCAGCCCGACACCCGCAGGCGCATGCCTGCAACTGTGATCCCCAAGCATGAAGGGCCGTGGCCAATGGTTTGGTTGGGCAAATCGCGTTCTTCCCCAGTCCCCCGGGTTGTGCAGCAAAGACCTCCAGCTCATCAGGGGTCAGTGAGAGCTCTTTGATATGGCTATCTGGCCACCTAGGCAGTTTCGGCAAAAGGTGACGGAACGCTGGCTTGAAGTCGAGTGCAGGAAAACTTCGAAGCTCTTGCATCTTGAAGTGTGGGTGTGTGATCACTGCCCACCATCGCGTTCGCTTTGCTGGCCAAAAATCTTGTAGGCTGCAAATCTGTTGCTGGAGCTGATAGCCAGTGCTATTGCAGAAAGCCCTCAATGTATCCTGAACCCAGACTGAGGTCATGGCCTCTTTGGTGCATTCCAGAACAAGGGCTAACGGCTGATGAACATAGCCTACCATGATCATACCTTCGAAACTCCGTGCTCGAGGGTCCAGCTGTTGCCGTCTGTCTCCCAAGGCCGAAAACGGCTGGCAAGAGAAACCTCCAGTAACAATGCATGGTGTTGTAGTGTATTCCAGTAGGTCTCGAAGGACTTGCGGGCTATCGACATCACCTTGTATGACAGGCATCTGCTTAGCCTTCAACCAGTTCGCATAGGTCGGGTTGATCTCCACATGGCACCGAACACGGCTTTGAATGAATCGGTATCCAGCAGTCATGATAGCATATCCTGAGCAAATGTCGATGACTTCCGAGGCCGTTGCACTATTGGCCATTGCATGTATCTGGATGGAGGATTGGTTGGCCTCCAGGAGCGGCAGTCCATCCAAACCTTGCTTGCAAGCCGCAATGACCGAAAATCGGTCTCCAGCAAGCTTCACTCCAGCTAACAAGAACTTCTGGCTCTTCATCATCGATGTGCAGTGGAAAGCCTGTCGGTCGTGGTCATAAAACCAAGCTTTGCCAGCTATGGTGACTGAAGCACCGTCTGGCACCTTTTCTAACCATGGCTCCGGATCGAACATACCCTCCCGTGCCTTTTGCTCGCACGGGTGTACCTGCTGGTAGGAGCTCGGGCCGACACCTAGCGATGGCCTCCAACCTAAGAGCGATGGCCTCCAACCTAAGAGCGATGGCCTCCACCCAAACCAAGAGTCAGCTCACCCAAATCAATGAAGATGGTCTCCATGGAAGAAAACCTCACTGTGTGGACTACCGGTAAAGTATTGTGCTCTTGAAATCCCTTTTAGAAAGACGATCTTGTCTTTTTTCATCTTTTTTCATGGCAGCTGGCATTCAAGTGCTGAATCCCTTATCAAGACTAAGTTCCACCAAACCTATCCAAACCTGCTTGTCTCATCTCATATCAATTCTCCACGCAAACGAAATTCCCTTTTGCAGGATGCTTGATACCTGCAGGTTTCTCAAGCCAGCCACTTCCGTGGTAACTTCAGCACCCAACAGAAACCATCCCACATACAATTCTTCTTCGGAAGAACTTGACACACTTCCTGAAATTCAGGACTAAACAATTTCCTTAAAAGAGGAGTCTCAAATTTCAATTCCCGTTCTTTAATTGAAATGATGTTTCCATGATTCCGACTTGCACCTTCGAAGCCAGGGTATATCGCTCACTCGCCCGCGTGGGGCTGGTGGTGACCCGGAACCTGCGGTCGGCGACGGGAGAAAAGTCTTCGCGATGTCTTACGCGGGGAAGCGTTTGGTGCTTCCCGCGAACCTTGTTACTAGTAGCAAATTAGCTACTAATAGCGATGCCCTTGTTACTAGTAGCGATGCCCTTGCTCCTAGAAGCGTCCTTGCTCCTAGTAGTAAGGCCAGGAGCCCCTAGTACCTTTATTGCTCCTAGTAGTACGGCCAGGAGCTACTAGTAGCGTCCTTGCTCCTAGTAGCGAGGCCCTTTGCTCCTAGTAGCGTTTGGTGCTCTTCCGTGAGAACTTTAAGAACAAAGACTTTAGGGAACCTAATCGCGATGGCCTCCACCCTAGTAGCGATGGCCTCTTGAGCCTCTACTTCTTGAAACTCATCAACCCTTTGTCAGCCTACCCCCTAGTCAACATGTTGGACATTTCCAACTTGGCTTTCTCGTGTTTGACAAACTATGAGGATATTATGAGGCAGCAAGACGGAAATGCTTCAAGAACATCTTACAAGCCTAAGTACGCTCAGTAAGGCTCAGTATTGGTCAAACTGATCACTTGCAGGAACATCTGAGATAGGTTGTATATGCAGCTAGCTGCAGCTAGCTCCCCTGCTCCCCATTTTTCATATTTATATATTTCATACACATTAGCCCAATTCAAAGAACTATATAAATATAACTATATATATACACGGGCAACCGCATTTATCGTCACCACTGTTCACCGCTCGCTGTGCTCGAGAAGGACCATATCAACGGAGGTGCTCGGAAGGTCCGACGCCCGCGATTTCCGCCTGCTGGGGCTCGGTGCTTCTGAGGCCTGCATTCGGAAGGGGGCAAGATCGCTGGTATCGACATGTATGTCAATTGTAGACCATAGGAGACCACTTGCAGGGTGTTCTTCAGACCATCTACAAAAGAAACACGTGATTTTCTGAAGATCAAACGCCTACCTCAGTTGGATGGACGACGATCATGACTACTTGAGCTGGAAGACCACGGACTCTGCACCTTGCTAAGCTCTAGACCGTGGTAATCCAACAGAAAGACAATCGGATGGACCATGAATTACATATCTGGGTTTTTGCAGCTTGTCCCAGGTTATGTTGATTGCTCAAGCCGTTGCGCGAACAAACCGACGACGGAGCCCGAGCTGGGCAGCGCCTGGAGCCAGGCAGCTGCTGCGGCTGCTGCGGCTGCCGACTCGGGAGAGTCCTCGCCGGCTTGGGCATTGGGGGGTGAGGTGCGTTGACCTAGGAACAAGAAGCTACTACGAACAAGGACCCTAATAGCGATGGCCTCCAACCTAATAGTGTGATAGTAGTGATGTTTACTTTCCCTATGCTTAAAATCCTTGGAAACTGGGTGAGATGCATTTCAACGTGCACCGACTCATGTCATTGCACACTCATAGGGCCAATAGGGTGTGCACACACTCATGACTCATGCTTGCCATACTCAAAGCTTTAAGGCTTTGCGTGGCACTCCAATGGTTCATAGAATCAGTCAGTGTCTTGAGTATCTTCTCTAGGCATCCCCCAAATCCCCATCTGGCGACTTCCAGCCAGTCTTCAGCAAAGATTCACGTGATAGTGACAGTAAGGACCTCTGACACTGCCAGCTATTCGACAACGAAACAGAAAAGGATCCCTGGCATATGGGCATTTCCTATCGGATCCTATCCGTCCCTTACACTCTCGGTCATGTTTCGCCGCCCTCAGCCCCTCACTGCCCTCGCTGCCCTCGCTCCTTGGGCGAACGTTCCACCTCAAAGGTCACTGCCTAGATGCAAGTGAAAAAGGTGGATGGATTGAAGGTGGTCCAATCAACTCCTCAGCTATCAGCATCTATCAGTTGTGTAGGGCCATCTAGTTCTGCCGTGGCAGCATATCCTCTCGAATTTACTAAACCTCGCGAAGTCGTGTTCAATCGCGGAAGTAAAAACGAAAATCCCAAGGTTGTTGGAATGAACTTGCAGATTAGTCTACTAGTAACAAGTGCATCGCTACTAGTGACAAGGGCACTACTACTAGTAGCAAGAAGCTACTAGTAGCAAGAAGCTACTAGTAGCAAGAAGCTACTAGTAGCTATTTGCTACTAGTAGTAATGCACTTGTTACAAGGTAGCGATGCACTTGTTACTAGATGAAACGTTCTGCCTGCGGCGGCTCATCGATGGCTTCCACTGACGTGACCACTTGCACTGGGCTCCTTAGGTGGACATGCGAGTGTGACAGCAAGACACAGTTGGGCTTCAAGTTCAGGAGGTATTGGGTGACACAAAGCACCTCAAATTAGGAATACTTGTATGTATATATATATATAGTGTATTATATAGTGAAGTATAATGAAAGGCCTGACAGGCTCTACCCACAAACTGTGCATAACGCGCTGGTGACTGCATGATCAACATCCTTCAAAGAGGCCGCCTTGATACTTGCCAAGAGGTGACTGGGAGGGTAAGGAACAACACCTCTTCACAAGAGCTTTCACCAAACCTCTTGAGAGAGCTCAATAGTTTGTGAATCTCTGGCGCTGCATCTTTGGGAAGTACATTGTATGGTGAAGCTTCGAGTGCTGTTGCCAGGCAAAACATGCAAAAACTAGACCTTTTGCTGGGGCCATCTCTGACTTATCTTACTGCATAATATACATGTTACTTCGTCATGTCCAAAAAGTCTACAGCCACCTCGCTGACCTGATTTTGGTGAACATCCACGTCACAATCAGGACGACCCGTCCAGCCAGGCGGCGGAAGGGCCAGGCGGGCCTACGTGAAGCACGTCGCGGAGATGATGTGAAGAAAAACACATCCGAAAGGCCCTTTGCTCCTAGTAGCTTCTTGTTGCTAGTAGTAAGGCCAGGAGCCCCTAGTAGCGTCCTTGCTCCTAGTAGCGATGCCAGGATCCCGTAGTAGCTTCTTGTTACTAGTAGTAAGGCATGCGAGTCTTGGTGCATTGTTCCGTTTGACTCCAAATAGCGATGGCCTCCACCCTAGTAGCGATGGCCTCCATCCTAGCAGTGATGACATCCAATCTAATAGCAATAAAGCCCATGTGAAACATCCAAGTCTTGGTGCTTTACTCCTTCTGTTTCCGAACTCACACAGTGTCGCTATTCAAATTGCCACATCAAGCCCTATGGCACCGAATCAAAATTGTGTTCTTTATCTTTAGAGACCTGCAATCAACGTAAGAGCATTCCGAGCATACTTCCACACAACTGAACAACCAAAAACTATTTGGGAGTGTCATCTTGGAATTCTTTCTGGTGCAAACTCAGACTTGTGGTTTGAGCAGCACCAACCAAATCAACTGACACATTCTGGCACATCATGTTTGTGGCCGGCCTGTGGTTCCGGCAAGGACTTCACGATGAAGGTGCCCGGCTTCTCCTGCAGCTGACATTTTGTTAACCTTCATATCCTGCAAACAGTCTGTCTATCTATTTTGTATGCTGCTCATCTTGAAGACATTGCCAGTGTGTCGGTGCTGATTTGGGATGGGTTTAGGGTCATGGCAAGTTTGTACTTGCGAGGAGCATCACTTGACCACATCCAAGTGTCAACGGATAGCCAAGTCACTGCGGTGGGTCGGAGCTTGCTCATCATCAGCCAAGCCAACCTGAATCTCGTCTCAAACTTTAGCGAAGTGGACAAAGCCGGGCAATGTCCATTGAATCTTATGGCTTTCGGGCACACTTGACCTGCACCTCCAGATTTTCCTTTGGGAAAAGCCTAACTTTACTTCATCTCCAACACATGTTAAACACCGTCCGCTTTGAGGCACCTCTGTACTGCCAAGTCACATCACCCGCTGCTGCGTCAAACGGCACTGCAAGCGGATGGCCTTGGACCACAAGAAGCACCAACAGAGCTCCACTACCGTCAGGTGATGGAGTAGTCTGACATATCTGTGGGGTAGTTCTGTCTGTTAGACTCTGAAACACATCTGGGACCTTGCCCATCGACGACAAAGGGGTTGCAAGCAGTTGAACGAGTGGGCTCAGATAGTTTGTGAGACCGCAAATAAGATTAAATAAGGATTGCTGACGCTTCGAGAGCTGCTGCAGGGTAACTGTGTGCATCCTGCCTAGAAAAATACGGGCTTCAGTGCCCTCACCTCTGGACTCTGTGGACAGTCTGGACAGGCCTTAACGGCGTGCCCTTTCCTTTTTTCACTCTGCAGTGGCACGTCGTTCACCTTTAAGTGCCGTTGGCGATGGCCGCCGCCGCGGCCGCGAGGCCAGATGCCACCGCGCCGAAGAGGCGGACGGCCAAGTAGTGCTCGTCCAAGAGCTCCGGGCCTTGACATGGTTGGAGGCCGTCTTTTCTGATATTGGCATATTGTTTCTACTAGCTTCTTGTTACTACTAGTAAGGCACTTGTTACTAGTAGCGATGCACTTGTTCCTACTAGCTTCTTGTTACTACTAGTAAGGCACTTGTTACTACTAGCGATGCACTTGTTACTACTAGTATCAAGAGATATTCGGTGGTGTTTCCCAAAAGGTTGCGGAGGCTGTAGGTGGGGATTGAACATCTTGCATGACAATGCTTGGAATGCATGGATTTCAATCACAGGTGTTTTCTCCAAGGCCTTACTAAATCCTCATTACTGCTTCATTGTGCCATACTGCGCCCATCAGCCCATTCCATCTCCATCCATCGCCTGGGAAGCTCCGACGGTCTGGCCGCACCTTTTCCAAGAGAGGGTCCCACGTCCTTCGCTGCACGGTCTGCGCGGGTCACAAAGGTCTCCAAAAGAGTGGAACCCTTTCAAACCCTTTTCGTGGAGCACAGTGTAATAGCGATGGCCTCCTGTGTCTCTTCTTTTCCTCTCTTTTCCACCCTTAGTAGCGATGGCCTCCACCCTGTCACACAGTCCTCGCCCCAGGCCCTGGAACTGTCATGGCCACCAGGGTGGCCCGTTTCGCCTGTGGGTACGCAAGACTGCGCACGCAAAGCTCCTTGGCTGAAAAGGAGTGGGCTGCCAGGTTGGATTCTCGGCAATACTCGATTCCTCGAATCTACAATCTCTTTGTATCGACGACGCTTGAATGGAGTGCTTTGCTTATCCCCATTCACATTTGGGTTAGAGCCGGATTCGGAAACTAATCGGTCGGATTCTGAAACTAGGGTTCTGAAACTGGGGTTCTGAAACTAGGGTTCTGAAACTAGGATTCTGAAACTGGAATTCTGAAACTGGGGTTCTGAAACTAGGATTCTGAAACTGGGGTTCTGAAACTAGGATTCTGAAACTGGGATTCTGAAACTTGTATTCTGAAACTGGAAAGTCAGATTCTGCAACTGGTATTCTGAAACTGGAAAGTCAGATTCTGCAACTTGCCTTCTGAAACTTGCAACTGGTGATCTCCACATCATGCGATAGCGTGTGTGCCTGTGACATCACCTTCGAAGCACATCCAAACCAACGTCATTAGCCCCCCACCCAACACCCCCCACCCCCCAACCCCCCCTTGTTTTCATCGTGCGATCTCGACATCCCTCATCATTCACAAAGTTGCGGAATCCTAGTGAGGGAGTCCACAATGTTGCGGAATCCTAGTTGCGGAACGCCAGTTGCGGAATCCCAGTTGCAGAATCCTAGTTGCGGAATCCTAGTTGCGGAATCTTGACAGTTGCGGAATCCTAGTTTTGGAATCCTAGTTGCGGAATCCTAGTTGCGGAATTCTAGTTGCGGAATCCTAGTTGCGGAATCCTAGTTTCGGAATCCCAGTTGTGGAATCCCAGTTGCGGAATCCGACCAAACAGTTGCGGAATCCTAGTTGCGGAATCCTGCGCAGTTGCGGAACTCGACTTTATCCTTCACATTTGGTTGGATCAAGACAAATTACGCCAACATACACCTCAAATAGCAAGTTGCAAGACATACTCTGTGGGCAGCAGCGCCCACCCAAAGACATCTGGCAGCGGCACCCCCCCAGGCGCACCTTGCAGCACCAGCAATCCAAGCTACAATAGCGCACACGGCCATAGATATCACGCCACCCGCGAGCGGCACCCACCAGCGTCACTTCGTGCTTCTAGCAGGGGTCAAAGGAGATGAGGACAGGTTCATGTGTGGGATATTGCAACAGGTGCAGGGTAGCCCATGGTAGCCCTGTTGCAAATGCAGGGTGAATTGTGAAGATACCGCAACGCTCGCTGTGCACATCTGTGCACGCTGAATTCTGATACTTTGCGCCGCACTCCTCTGTTCCTTTGTCGAGCTTGGCCAGGACGCGTGCAGCACCAGCACGCTCCAAAAACGCACACTGCCATACACACCCAGCAGGGGCACCAGCACCCAGGCTCCGCACACAGGCACCTCTTCCCGCACTTGAAGTATGAACCTCTATAGACTCTATAGCTCTCGCTATCTGGGGAACTACATGAACATTCTTCAATGAGAGGACTCTGAAATTTCACCCAGCAAAGTGTCCAATTCAGCTGAGATTCGGCCACAGATCTGTGTGGTATAGCAGTGACCTTGAGATCACCGCCATTGTCTGCCAACGCCAAAGCTTTGTCTTCGTCCAGAGTAGCATCCACATCGCCCATAAAGCCAGGACGGACGATGGTGTAGTCCTCAGAAACCAACGATCGTATCCCGCATATGTCCTAATAGCGTTCTTGTTCCTAGTAGCACGGCCAGGAGCCCCGTTCGTAGCGTCCTTGTTCCTAGTAGCATATGTCCTAATTATGTCTTTCTACTCTTGGATCGCTTTCGACACGCAATGTGATTGTTCCTTGTTCCCTATCGAAACCCTGCGAACGGACGCTACGAGGTCGGGGCTCCTGGCATCGCTACGAACGGAACAAGGTTCGCTACGAGTTCCGGGGACTCTCTCTCTCTCTCTCGCTCGGGTCCACCACGGTGCTTCGAGCCGAGGTGCGATGTTGGCCCCTCGGAGGCGTCGCTCGCCTTCGAAGTTCCAGGCTTTCGCCATGGAGCCCAGCGCGTTGATCAAGATCCTCAAAGGAGCGGAGCGCCGGGGAACAAAGAGACGTAGTAGCAAGGTGGACGGTAGGAAGGTGATGAAAGGTGATGGATCTTGTTCGTGGGAGGGCAGAAAGCTGGTTTCAGGGTGTCAAGAAACACCCTTTGTCTTTTTCTTTACGTACACAAGGGTTCAAAAGAACAATGGATCAGTGTCGCTGACCTTTCACGGAACAGGAGGCAAAGGCTGTAGAATTTAAGATATCTTATAATCTAGACCCAAGGCTCCTGGCCTTACTACTAGGAGCAAGGACGCTAGTAGGAGCTCCT